AGTTTATTGTTAAGACTCACATTTTTTATTAATAAAAGTGTGTTGTAGACTAGTAATAAGGTTTGGGAGTCCAAAGATTTATGAGGAGTGTAGCTTTTAATGTGGCTACACAGCCCCACCTGCCACCCAACATATTTTGCCACATCTAGCGCAGACATAATTATTGTCCGCCAGTGGTTGATTTAATTTCTCTTTTTGCCATCTATGTCTGTCCTCAGCAAGGGATTTTCTTTGGTCCCAAATGTGTATTCTGTGGCCTTTGTCTTGTTCAGAAGCTGCTTGCAACCAGGTGCTCTCTTCCATGTCAGCTAAAACAAGTTGGTGCCTAAGGTGGTCTTAAAACATTTCTTGGGGCATCTCTGTTACCTATTCCATCTTTCAGCTCACCAAAGAAGACTTCCTATGCTCACCCCCCCCCCCCATACAGGATTAGTGCCATGCACAGTGTAACTGTTGGACCATAAGAAGTCCCTCTGTATTGTCCATACCCGCCTTGGCAGAAAATCACTGTTTGTAATGTGGTCTATCCACCGTTTGTCCATGATGGAGTGCATACATCTTAGGTGAAAGTGTTCAAGAAGAAGTTGCTTTCTGTATGGTATCCATGTCTCAGATCTATTTAGAAGGGTTGGTAAACCCTGATTTTTGTTGGGAGACAAAGCAAAGCAACTCTCGTCTGGAGGCATCCATAAGTGCTTTTGGCCATGGACAGATGGTTATCAACTTCTCTTAAAAGTGATGCATCATTTGATATGCTTCCTATACAGGTGAAGAGGTCTACCATGTTAAAGATCATTGATCTTTGGGGATGAGTAGGTTTTATTGGGTGACTTCTGGAACATGTCTTGTTTTTCAGAGACTTATAGATAAACCAAAAGAGTCTGCAACATATTCAAATTCGTTGACTGAGTTGGAGATGATGTTCATTGTGAGGTAGTAGGGTTGTAGACTATAAAGCCAAAAAAAAGTGAATTCTTTAATTAACATACCCTTTGTTGACATTTGTTTGAAGTGTAGCTTTCTCTCCTTAGTAATACAGCACTGGCCTAAAAAAATTGTTTTGCAAACAATTGTGGAATAGTTAAAGCTTAAGTAAACTTTTTAGAAATGAAACTTACAAGTATTCTCAAACTTCTAGTCAGAACTCAAGTCAGTCATTGCTTGGCGCCAGGAACAGGAAAAGAAAAGGAAACAGATTGAGGACTACACTGTGATTGCAGAAAAACGAGAAGAGCACTTAAAGGACTACAGGACTGCATTGCAGGCTAGAAGAGAAAAGGGCATTCACAAGGAGAGAAGGAAAGGTCCTAGACCTAAAGAGATTGTTACTGACATTGATGATGTTCATTACTCAATGGTTCTTAAAGGTCAGTTATTCATTTATTATTATTATTATTATTATTACTACTACCCACTGGCTTCACCTGTTGATTTGTTCCCATTCTATACATTGTTTATTTTCCTATGGACGCCTCCCATTTTTTTCTTACTTAACAGAATTTAATGGACCCCCCCCAACCTCTTTCCTTTTTTTAAATTTTTTTTTTACTTATAACAATATAAAGTTAAATACTCCTCTATACATTCCTTTGGTCAGCTAATTCTGGTATCTATAATGTTGACTTGGACCAGCCATAAATTCGAATATCCCTTCCCCCCCTTAACTTTCCTCCTTAACTAATAGGGCCTAGTCTTATTTACACTATATTCTTCTTCTTCTGCTTTTCAGTTCTTATTTGAAATATTTTATAAGCTCCATAATATTTTTTGTTTTGGGCTACTTTTTACATCCTGTAAATGATCCCACCCCCCACCTTTATGCTTTTTACCTTCAGTAAAACTGCCCCCTTTTTGCCAGTGTATACGTTTTGTTTAATTGGAATGGCCCGCTTGAAATCGCCCTCCCAAACACATTCACTTCTATCTATCTCTTTCTCTCCCCCCCCCCCCCCCCCCCTCCCCATTTTTTTTGTGCTCCACTGCAATTTCCTCAAAACACTTGAATTTTAGTATTTGTTACATCTACTTGGCACAGCCCAATTTATTACACTACCCCTCCAAAAAAGTTTTTCCTCATAAGTTGTTGTCTATGTACACTAATATACACATAATTTATTACAATATTTATAGACATATTGTTACTTATATATTGCTGTTGACTAATTGAATGTGTTTGTTTTTTACACAGGTTTTAAATTTGTTAATGAATACATTTTAAAAACACTTTACTGTTTTCAGTATTAATAAAAAATGAAGTGGAATATTAATTTTGTACATAAATATATAAATGGCATCTAATTTGAGCTTATTATTGAAACAAGATATACATTTTGTATTCATTTATTTGAAGGTGATGTTGATGGTTCTGTTGAAGCCATTCTTGACACTCTGGATACCTACCATTCCAAAAAATGCCATTTGGACATAATACATTATGGTGTTGGGGCAGTCACAGAATCTGATGTTGAAATGGCGGCAATATTTAATGGTAAAATCTTTAGTTGTTAGGTTGACAATTTTGATGGTTAGATATAATGACTTGCTTAAACTTGTTTGTTTTATTTTTATCAAGTACACTGCACTTTGGCAAGAAACTTAATGCTGTTTCTTTCACATTTGCAGGAGATTTGTTTGCTTTTAATGTGATGGTACCAGTTAAAGTAGCAGAGTTGGCAAAAAGTAAAAAAGTTGTCATCAAGAAACATAATATTATCTACCGACTTTTTGATGACCTCATCAGCAGTATCAACAAAAAGTTGCCAAAAATTGAGGAACAAGTTGTCACAGGTGACATTAAAAAAAACAAAAACTTATATGCTAAGTATTTGAAAGTTAGTGTTTTCACTTCTGACTTAGATGACAATAAAAACATTGATGTCATCAAAAGCCACATTGCTCAAATTAATAAGAAATCTCTTTAATTGATAAAGATATTCTAGCTGAAAGTGTTTTATTATTCTTCTGGCTAGACCTAATGTATTACAGCATTATTGATATCTAGATTTTAAATTAAAAAAAACAAACAAGAAGCTAGTGAATGTAACTTAATATCCTATTTACTTTGACTTTAGTATTGATTTATTTTCATCACATCGCCTTGAGCTTACATTATGTTTTTTAACAGCGCACTTTAAATTAAATTATTATTATTATTGATTTTTATATCTTTGTGACATAATGGTCTTGTGTTCTGTTACATTGGATTGTCTCAGGAGAAGCCAAAGTGTTGCAAGTATTCCAGGTCACCTTACCCAACAAAACCAAAGCTAATATTGCAGGCTGTCGCTGCACTAATGGTGTTATTTCAAAGAAACTTGGAATTAAAGTTTTGAGGAATGATGAAATTGTGTACATAGGTCAGTTTTATTAGATAGTGAAACTAAAAGTTTATAGGTATTCAGGTCAGTTAGAAATCAGATGTGTAGCATGTAGGTTTACTTGCTGGAGGTAAACCCCTGGAAACTTAGTTCTGTTCAATACCAGTCAACTTTTGGGAAAGTCTAGTTTGTTGGAAACATGACAAATCATTAGCTGACAAACTGTTCATGACATTAATTCACCTGACTATTTGCCCACCCAACACTTGGTTCACCAACAATCTGTTCATGACAAATGGTTCACTGACATTGGCTCAGACAAATCATTCACTGGATAGTAACATTGTTAATATTATCTTTACATAATCTATTTATTTAAAGTTATTCTATTTGTGTGTGTTAGCTTAGTTTTTTTTTCTTTAATCATATTGCAAAAACATTTTTCATTTCTCAGTGATAGTCAGACAAAAAGGCACACACAAATATGTATATACTATAAATCATTATTAGTCAACTATAAGTTTATTTCCACATTGAGATATTTTTTCCCAATTTAAATAAAAATTAAGATTTAGTAAACTATAACAAAAGTAAAAAGGTGAAAGTAAAAAGGTTGCCTATAATTAAGTGAGGGTCCATTCCAATGGTTCAGCTAGCTTGTCGCAAGTATTTTTTGTTTGAAATAATACAAACTTAAGTTATAATGTATCAAACCCCTTCATACATGTACTGAGAATGTTAATAGTATGTTACATCTTATGAACAATTTGTGAAGCAATAGTCATGAACCAATGGTCAGTGATCTTTTTTGTCATGAACCGATTGTTGGTGAACTAGTTGTTGATAATGACTTATCAGGTGAACCATTGTTCAGTTTAATGAATTGTTGAACAGTAAAATTCATAGCACATTTTTGTATTGTCTAAAAGTGCTACTTAAAGGTACCTTTCTCACCTGATTTAAGCCAGGACACATGCACTTCAAACTTCCACTAATAATAAAGCAACAGGGAAACCTGATTTTCAGGATTTTAGGTTTCATAACCATGTTTGTTACTAGCCTGAAAAATTATGTTACACTTTGAATAAGATTTATAAGATAAACATCAATTATATGATGCAGAGATATATTCAGGTGTATGTACCCTTTGAAAGAATTTTTACAGTTCTTTTTGAAATAGCAGCTTTTAGACAAGAATAAAGAAGGGATAGAAAAAGAAAGGTAATTGCATGGGCACGACTTACATGGTGTCATGAACATTTATACACATTTTTAGGAATGTAAAAACTTAAATGGTATGTGAAGGCATTTTTAAAAATGAATATCTAGAGTTTGAATTGCATGCATGACTTAAATATAAATATGTCCACACCTTGTGTCTGTAGGTAAGATGGTTTCCTTGAAGCATTTTAAGGAGGAAGTGGACTCCATCAAGAAAGAGCAAGAATGTGGCATTGGTATTGATGACCCAAAGTTTGCTTTTGAGCCTCAGGATGTTATAACTACCTATGAAATCAAATTAGTGGATCAGGAGGTGGACTGGCAGCCAGGATTTTAACACTTGGAGTATTTATTAAGCAACTACGGGAGTCTTGTGTGCAAAATTAAATGTATTTTGTTTTTGTAACATGTTGCAATGAAGCTTGTTTACATTTTTTTTTAAACTAAAAGAAAACAAACAAGTCTTGTTTTTATTTATTTATTATGACTGTACAAATGTGAGTGGAAGATATCAATTATGCAGCATTGAAATAATTTAGCAGAAAACATAGATGCTCAATCAAACATACTCATCATAAAACTTAAATAAAAAAAACACAAAATCTGGCTAAAGGAAAACATTTATTCTATAGGATTTTGTCTTTGCTTTAAAATGAAACAAATGACAAAGTAATGTGAAACTATTATTTTAAAAGCCAAAATCATTAACTTCACAATAAATGTTTTAAATATCATAGAACATACTCATTACATAAAAATGACAGTTTTAGATGAAATGAAATGTTTCAATACATTGCAATATTAAATTTAAGATTTCAAATTCATAAGCAAATGATTAAACATGGAATGCTTCAAACTCAAGATCATTGACATGACATTTTTATTTAAAAATTTGTTTTTCTATTTCTAACCAAGCATAAATGAAAACTGCTCAAGAAACATCAACACTGCATTCCACAATTAAAAATCAAGACACACACAATTTTTGAAATAAAAAAAATGGTAGCTACTTGAAATATTCATATAAAATAATATAAATAAATAAAAATTTATAGTGGGTTTTATTTCCAATTAAAACCATCTTTGCATATCAAATGTTCAAGATACAAAACTTTAAATCATTTCACACCTAGCTCCAAATACACTTTTGTCATGAGTCCACTGTAACATTTCACTAAAACACTTATTAGAACTATAAACTGCATGGGAGGAAAAAAATTAACATTCAAACAGCAGTTTGGGAATAAATTCAATTTCGTTTAGCTTAGAAAAGTTATATTGACTGGAGGTTTAATAAGGGTTAAGTTAATGGTCTTCCTGGCAAGTTTGGTAAACTAATGACTCCAATAGCTCAGAAAGTCTTTTTATGTTCTAGTGTTAACATACCAAATACTATTGTGCTTTTATGAAATCTTATAGTGTGTTTTTAATTGGTTGTTTACCATACTTCAAACTTACAGCTGTATGTTTATTTAATTACTTTGCTTTTAGTTTTGAAGAGCTATATTGGATTTTAATACTTGGTTGTTCAATATAAATGGAAAAAATAAATTTTACAATAAAATATGTGAAGAATATATTGTCATAATTTAAAAACTGAAACAGACAAAAGTCAAAACACACACTAATATGCATAGCATTAACATACAAACATTATTTCTTTACAATGCATATATAATTATTACAGTTGATAAATGTAACATAGGATGGCAAATTATTCTGAAAGAATAAATGTAAAACAATTACTGCTTTATAAATACAAAGATAAAGGACATTTATTTTAACATGCTAAGAAGTGTCCCTTTCTAGCCTATTTAAAACCCTATACAATTTTTTTTTCAATCAGTTACCCTTTATAGCTGGATGGAAATACCACCTTCACTTTTTGGGTTGTACAATGCTATGAATACATTTTTAAATACGCATAGAGCATTGACTGTAAGTTAAAGAAAAACAAAAGGTCTGTATTTTAAAAAAATCATTGAAATGTCGTGAAGACGTTTGTAAAGAATGTATAATATTGGAAAAATAATAATTATCACAATGTATTCTTTTACACACATACACAAAGCTATTCCAAGCTTATCTTGTAAGCTTGTGCATTAACAATTCTCTTTCACATGAGCACAAAGACAATGTTCACATAGCACCTCTTCAATAGGTTCTGAATTAAAACTTCTTAGATACCACACCGGTACTAATAATATTCCCAGTGGAGTTTTGTCTACTGCATCAGGGTATCACTAAATACATTTCCTCTTTTGAGAGAAATGACATTAAGACTTTCCATATTCGTAAGCGAAATCAATCTTTATCCACAGAACAAAATATAACATGAAAAGTACAGATACCGGCACAGTCAACAGACAAACAGGAAGTCTCATGCCTTTGCTTTCTGTGTTCTTTTCCTAACTTCACTATCACTGGCCACCTGTGAAGCAGAACCACTTGGTTCACTAGGGCCTTTAGAGTCTAAAGCTGTTTTCTTGGTCTGCTTTTGTTCCACTGTATCATCAATGATGTCATCATCATCCTTTGAGAAGGAACACACACACAAAATTAAAAAATCAATAAATTACTGTGAATTTTATTTTCATGTAGTCATTTTTATAATAATTGTGTACAAATATAGATTAAATCTTACTGTTGGGTCATCCTTGGGCTTGTGCGCTAGTCTCTCAGGAGGCAAGGGGATATATTTAGCTGGAAAAAAGTTATCACAGCAAAGAACCAGCAGCTGAGAAGAAAAAAATTTCATTTAAATAATAATTGTAAGTGAAATAAAAAAATTAACCTGCAGAAAAAAATTAAACAAGATCATGTGGGAAGTGTGACGATACAGGCCAAGGATTGTATTAATAAGTTGATAAATTCATAAGAAATGAAGAAAGAAGCATCTCTGTATTTTCTTTCAAACTTCTTTAATAATACTTCTTCAACTTTCACATAAAATTAATTTTTTAATTCAATAACAACTTGACTTGATACTTCATAAATAAAACTTAAAGATACATGAAACTTCACTTAGTATAACATTTAGCTTCAACTAATAATATTACTTCAACTAATAAAACTTTAATTAATGGACCCGCTAATATAACTACCAAACTATACTAAGTGAGGACTAAGCGAGGACCATCGCTGTACAAGAACTACTACTATGCGAGGACACCGTCTAACTGACTTTCCCTTAATTTATACCTTTCTTAATCGTACATTCCAGAATCATGGAAACTTCTCAGATAATTATTTTACTAACTTTGACCTTCTAGAAGCTGACGTTTGCTATTTTTTCCCTTAACCCCTTTCTTTGATTGGATACCTAAAATTAACTTGTTTACGCTGGACACTAGCACTGGTTTGACCTCGCTTCTAGAAACTGGTCGAAATAGGTCACAGACTCGACTCGTGACAGGAAGCGTGGTCGAGAAGCCAAGTGCGCTTGAACTTGGCTACTTGGAAGGGGGCTCGAGGTTCGACACCCGACTCGGGCAGAGTTGTGTTTACTGAGCGCCTAAAGGCAGCAACTCCTAGATACCCCTTCCCCCCACTGGTCCACAAATGAGATTGGACCAAAGCGCTCTGAGCATGCTATAAGCATGAAAGTAGCGCTATATAAAAGCTATAAATATATGTATAAATATATGTGCACTAAAATAATATGAATTACTAGCTGGATATTACCCGCTGCCTGCGGCCTTAGTTTGGGTATAATTGATCTATTGGATTGGATGTAGATCAAAATCAATAATGGCAAATGTTTTCGCATCATTTTAAAAAAATATTTTGCCACGAAAATCAAAGCAGAGTGTGAAAATGGATATACCCGTTCAGCCTACATGTTCATTATCTAATATTAAATACAGTAAAAACGGATTTACCCCAATTTGTTTAAAAAAAAGTTTCGTCCTTTAGTAGAGATATATATTTAGGTATTTTTTTTAATTTTTAGGGCCTTTCAGCTGTGGGTGGGACATTAAGCATACACTATGGTCTCCGCCATGATCTAAGGAATATTTATGCCAAGTTTTATCAAGATTGATCAAACGGTTTTTATTTCTATGCAGGACATACATTCATATGCCCTACTTTCTGCTTTATATATTAGATAAAGATTTACTACTGCAGGTTTGAAAAACTAGTGAACTATGAAACTAAAAAAAAGTCTGTATTTAACTACTTAGGTATTCTACACACTACATTGCTGTGATCTTTCTTGTCCCAATACCTTGAAGACATGGATGAATATATTCTTCCAACTCTCCTGCTGGTGTAGTCTTTCGCTTATCCCCACTCTTTTCCTCTCCTAATAGCCTATTTGTGACTTTTCATTGGCAATACACCCAAGGTGGTCCTATTACACTTAGTCTTCTCTTTTGCTAAGATCATATATAATGTTAATAGAGGCTTGGTGGTTGAGTTGTAAAGCTCTTGGCATCTGTACAAGAATCTCAAGTTCAAATCCTAGAGAAGAATGAGGATTTTGAACTTCTGAATTCTCAGGACATCTCTGACTTCACACAACTCTAATGGGTACCCAACATTTGTTGGGAAAATAAGTCGGGGAATTGGCTGTGCCCCCCCCCCCCCCCCCCCCCCCAAAGTTAGCCATAGAAACAGATATGCTTTACATTATTGCCCCCACCCCCCTGGATCACAAGGTCTGAAAAAGGTACCTGAAGTAATTGTGATATGCCCAATGTAAAATGCTGTGACAGTTTGGGTAACCAAATCCCTCTACTTTTCCCAGAAGGCAACTCAAGAGAGAGGCCGGTCCATTCTTTTATGTTATCTAGCCAGCTTTTCTTTCTAAATGCTCCTTCCATAGTAACTTGGAGAAAAAAAAATTTTTGATAGTGAGTCATGTCTTACAATATGACTATAGCAGCTCAGCTTTTCTCTCTTCACAGTATTGAGTTCTTCCTTTTTTCCAGCCAGTGTTGACTTGTAAAAATATTTACTTGAGGAGTTTTTCTTTTTTCCAGCCAGTGTTGACTTGTAAAAGTATTAAATAAAACTTCCTGGTATCTGATACCCAGCATTTTTCTGTTGCATTTACTCTAAAAGGCTTGGATTTTTCTTTCAGCCTCAGCGTTTAGTGTCCAACATTCACAACCATATAGGAGTACAGAGACCATTAGCCAAGAATACAGTTTTAAGTTTACTGGGAAGCTAATGTTAATGTTCTAGATTTTCCAGTTTTCTCATTGCAGTGGATTACCATTTTAAACAGGTTTTTAAATGATTCAACTTCTTCTAATGTTTGGACGTTCAACAGTATGTAATATCTCATACTATCCCCACCTCAAACTACTATTTTGCTCTTATCATTACTGATTTCTATGCCAACTGCTCTAGCTGCGGCATCCAGTTTCAAGTAAGATCCTGTACCTGGTCTGCATTTTCTCCAATGAGGTCTATATCATCTGCAAACCTGAGATAGGAAATAGGCCACCCATTAATGGTCAAGCTATTAGTAAATCCTTCTAGAGTTTCCATCAAATTATGCTCCAGAAACAAGTTAAAAAGAGCTGGAGAGAGAATGCAACCTTGCCAGACTCCTATGGATGTCCTAAAACTTTTTCCAATTTGGTTGTTCAGAAGTACTGAGATATTCACATTTTGATATAGGGCTTTAATAATATCAATATTGTTTTTATCTATGTCAAACTCCCTCATCACATGCCACTAAGCCAAACCAGGTCAAAAGCTTTTTTTTTAAAAATCTATGAAGTTTCTCAACAGACTCAAGAGAAAAGCTGAGGAGATCCTTTCCAAAGCTTCAGAGGAAGTAGAAGCACTGTTGTACAAATATTTAACATCAGACTGAAATGAAAAATGCCTTCAACACCATCGTAAACTGGTACACAGCTTCATAGGCTTCAATAAAATAAGGGAAGAATATACTGTCATAATTTAAAAATCAAAACAATGAAAATCAAAACACACACTAATGTTCCTAACATTACCATACAAACATTATTTCTATACAATGGTCATACAATAATAAAATAGTTGATAAATTATTCAGAGGTGAAAAAAAAAATTAAAACATGATATATGAAAAAAAAATCAAGACTACAGAAACGTTTCTGAATTCACTTACTAGTCCTAAAATTAATCCAATTATTATTGTCAGAATTGCAAATATCACATAGCAAAGCCATTCTGGGATACCATAAACATCAGTCATAGTATTGTATATGCCCTGAAAAATAAGACATTGGCTTTATATAATACTGTTGGCTAGTACACAAATCAAAATGTATCAACAAAATTGACTCATCTGTCAAGAAATGGAAAATTAAATGAAACACAAACTAATAATTGTAAGTACTGTGCGAGTAAATAAAGAAAAAATCCACTCACCCTGATAAACATGGCAGCAGTGAAAAAATTACCCAGTATTCCCATCCTGTCAAACACAAAGAAAATGTACTCAGACTACCTACTTATGACATATATATAATCAAATTTCATTATAAAGAAATGAAAATCTATGTTTTACTCACTGTATGGAGTTAGGATTTCTGTACCAAGCCACTGGCTCTATAGCATTCCATTTTTTCTCGTCAATTAGAGAAATCAAGTCTGTTGTTTTTCTACCACCCTGATAGATTCTGAAGTTTCCATCTTTTACACTATCACAAACACACAAAAAAGACAGAGCTTTCACTATGAAATAATCAAAAACTTAACGACAAGTTTAAGTGAAACTATGGTATTAAAGAATATTTTGCGTACTATCCTTAGAATGCTTTGTCATGTGTCATGCTCTATTGTTTGACGAATTTCCACAAGAATAATTAAGTATATTATTACTATTAAGGATACTTACTGATATAATGTTGGTAGTGAGGTAACAAGAAATCGACCACTAAGACCTATTTGAAAATTAGGTAAAGAGAATTGCATAACACCAATAATACCATTTTCACATGAAAGTATAAATAATGTCAATAAATCTAAAGGTTATTTAACTGAAAATAAACTAATTATATTAAATCTTTTTACACTAGGAGAACACAATCTACCTGGATTTTCTGTGACATCAATAACCCCAACAGTA